ACATAACCCTGATACCAAAACCAGGAAAAGGATGCAACAAAAGAAAACTACAGACCAATATCCTTATGAATATAGATGCAAAAATTCTCAACAAAATCCTAGCCAATCATCTAGGTGCTTGTCAAGAAATAATCCATCACAACCAAGTGGGCTTCATCCAGGGATGCAGGATGGTTCAACATACGCAAATTATAAATGTAATTCACATATAACAGAAGCAATAAAGACCATATGGTCCTCTCAATAGACGCAGAAAGCATTTGACAAAATTCAACACCCTTTTATAATAAGAACGCTCAACAAAATAGGCATAGACAGGGCTTCCCTAAAAATGATATAAGCCATATATGACAAACCTACAGCCAATATCATACTGAATGGGGAAAAATGAAAGCATTCCCACATAGAACTGGAACAAGACAAGGTTTGCCCACGTATCTCCACTTCTATTCAACATAGTGGTGGAAGGCCTTGCTGACAGAATCAGACAAGAGAGGGAAGTAAGGGCATCCAAATGGGAGCAGAAGAGATCAACTGTCACTCTTTGTGATGACATGTGATACTAGAAACCAAGGATTCAACCAAGAACTCTTGACTGATAAATGAATTGGTAAAGTCTCAGGATACAAATCAACACACAGAAAATCAGAGGCGATTTCATATACTGCCAACAGTACAAGGTGGAGACCAAGATCAAAGACTCAATTTCCCTTCAAAATAGCAACAAAGAAAAGTAAACTACCTAGGGAATATATTTAACCCAAGGGGTAAAGACCTCTACAGGCGAGGAACTTGAAACACTGAAAAGAGGAAATAGCAGAGGATGTAAACAGGTAGAAGGAATGTTATACCCAATTCTCTTGGGTCGGCAGAATCAAGCATTGTTAAAATGTTATACTACCCAAAGTGAGCCTTACCGAGTCACTGCAATCCCTATTAAAATACATCATTCATTTTTCCGACAAGTATAGAAAAATAGTTTTACACTTTGTATGGAAACCAGATAAGACCCCTTGGTATAGTTAAATCAATCCTAGAAAACAAAAAACTGAGTGAGTTCAGTTTACCAGATTCAACTATACTACAAGGCTTATAGTAATTTAAAACAGTTATGCTGCACAAGATAGGAACATTGACCAGTGAACAGAACAGAGACCCAGATATAAAACCTCTCATATAGCCAGACTAATCTTCAACAAAGGCAGACAAAACATACACTGGGGAAAGAATCCTTTCAATAATGGTGCTGGGAAAACTAGATAGGCCAATGTTAGAAGACTGAACAGGACCCACACTTCAACTCCAAATCAGCTCACGCTGGGTAACAGAGGTTGAACATATCTTGCAAAGGCATGAACGGAACTCGCAAAGAGACAGAATAATGCCAACGAACATTGAAAGATGCTCAATATCTCTAATCATCAGGGAAATGCAAATAAACAAAACCACGATGAGAGTATCACTTAACTCCAGTCGAGAATGTGCGTTTTATCAAAAAGTCCCAGACAATAGAATGTTTAGTGGTCCCAGAGAGATAGGAGCACTACCTACACTGCTGGTGGGACTGCAACTAGTTAACCTCTGTGCAAACGTATGGGATCTTTAAGGCGATAACAAGTAGATCTACACTATTGTCCAGCAGTTCCACTACTGGGCCATCACCAAAAGATCAAAAGTCACTTTATGAAAAAGACACCCTGACTCAATGTTTAAGCAGCACCAATTCACATTGCAAGTGTGAAACAACCCAAGGTGCCCATCAATTCATAGAGTGGATAATAAAATGTGGGTGATGTAATGTATACTATGGAGTCTATTCAGCTTTAAGAAACAATGGTGATATAATGCACCTCTTGTGATTTTCCTGGATCGAGCTGGAACCATTTCAACTGAGTGAAGATCTGAAGCAATGAAAACAAGCACCACAGTACTCATCAGCAAATTGGTATTAATTGGATCAACACCTTCAGTGGACATATAGGAATAGACATTTTATCAGGTGTCGGGCCAGGGTTGGAGGGAGAAGAGGAATGGTATATAGCAAACACTAATGAGTGAAGATGTTGCAACGTTTGGGATGTCACGCTTGGAGCTCTGACTCGGGGAAAGGGGCCATGAGCAATATACGTAACCTTAACACTTGTACCCCCATAATACACTAAAATAAAAAAATATATACATATATAGGCCGTTTCTTGGGTTCTCCTTGGAGCATGATGTACATCTCAATGGCCTTTTAGTTTTATATATAACTAAAGGCTAATTACTTGTAACCTTAATAGTTACCTTGGTTTTTAACGGTTATTAAAATCTAATGTTCATAATGTAAAAGTAAATGTTGTTAGAGTTTAAAATTTTTTTATTGAGGTGAAATTCCCATAACATGCATTGACCATTTTAAAGTGGTTAAAATTCAGTGGTATTTAGTGTAAAATTCAGTAGTATTTAGTATATTCACAATGTTATGCAACCACCAGTTCTCTCTAGTTTCAAAACTTTTTCTTCATAGACTTAAGGCAAGAAAAAGGAAAAACAGAAAAGAAAAAAATGCAAAGAAAACCCACTTTTTCATCATCCTATATCCCACTGCCCCCTCCCCCATTCCCTGGTATCTTCTAATCTGTTTTCTGTCTTTATGGATTCACCTATTCTGAATATCACATAAAAGGAATCATATAATATGTGACTTTTTATGTTTGGCTTA